AAAGCAAAATCTGAAAAGACAAATAACAAACGTAAATGGACCACAGGAGTGATGACGTAGATTTTATTGACATATGTCAGTTTCACTTTCCAAACAAACCTTGTTTAGTATGGATAATTTGTATTTTTCGTTATTTTTTCATTTATTTTATAGAATCTTTCCGCTTTTTGCAATATTTAAGTATTCTTATAGTTACTACAACAATTTTACAAGGTTGTGTAAATAATAAAGCACATTGTTTTATGCTAATAGCAATAAAATGCATTTATCAATAAAGTAAGGTTAGAATTTCTCAGTTTCAGAACTTTTAAACTATATTTCATAGAAATAGAACTCTGAATTATGATGGTATTATCGTAAAAAACACTATACTTACAAGAAAAAGCAGCAGAGGAAGCAAAATGTTAACTTTATAGAAATTAAAAAGTCTTGAGATTTGACATTTCAATGTTTGTTTGGAAAGTAATAATGACAATGTGACAGTCGTGACAATGCGGGTGAGTAGTTAGAAATGAAAACAAATAAAGCACCGGGTAGTGATGGAATTCTGGCAGAAATGTTGAAAGAAGGCGGAGAAGAAATCATCAGGTACCTAAAAATCCTTTTTAATAAATGCCTATTTGAAGGAAACATACCAAAGGAATGGAATACTGCTAACACAATAATAATACACAAAAAAGGGGACAATACAGATCTGAAAAATTATCGTCCAATATTACTACCATTACAATTTTATAAAACATACACAAAAATAATTACAAAGTTCGATGTATATCAACCAGTAGAGCAAGCCGGATTTAGAAAAGGGTTCAGTACATGTGACCATCTTCACACAAGAATCGGGAACATTTTTGCACGGTTTCAATTTTGAAAATGCCTCATTAACTAATTGTACTTTTAATATTACTATTAATAAAAATGATGTTTAATTGTTGTTAATGAAATTTGTATTGTTGCTTTGTGACATGTTTCATATTGTTGCTTTGTGACATGTTTCATATTGTTGCTTTGTGACATGTTTCATATTGTTGCCATGACAACATTTTTTCCTCCGCCGTAAAGAAAGGGAAAAAAAACTGCTGCCGGCGGAGACATCAAACTTTGACAGGATCAAGTTAGATAAGTAATGTCATCATTATTTGACGTTTGAAGAAAAGAGTATATTACTTTATGAGGCGGAGAAGCATGACTTTTCTTGACGCGCCCTTGCCCTCTATTACGCGCCGAACGAAGTGAAGGGCAAGTCAAGAAAAGTCGCTTCTTTGCCGAATAAATTATACTATTTTTTCTTCAAACGTAGCAATTTTCAACCATAAATAGTATAATTCATACGTTATTTTTACTCGAAATTAACTGTGACAACTATCAAAGTCGTCTAGATGTTAGAAATTAAAATAATTAAGTAGTCGGTGGGATTTGCGTCTCCCTGGTTAGAGTTGTTTGCAATTATTAAAGACAGCTTATTGTTGTTGCAACCGAAAGTGCAAATTTACGCGGCTACTGATGCAGTAGCACGTTTGGGGCCCTCCAAGTCCGATAAGAACGATAATGCTCAAAAAATTTTAAATCCTCATGATTCGCCAACATCGGGAATGATTGCTGAAAGTTGTTCTCGACCATCAGTATCATCAACAATTACCAATGCGTATCAAGAGTCGGGAACATTTTTGCACGGTTTCAGTTGTGAAAATGCCTCATTAACTAATTGTACTTTTAATATTACCATAAATAAAAATGATGTTTAATTGTTGTTAATGACATTTGTATTGTTGCTTTGTGACATGTTTCGTATTGTTGCCATGACAACATTTTTCCCTCCTGAGTAAAGAAATGGGAAAAAAACTGCTGCCGGCGGAGACATCAAACTTTGACAGGATCAAGTTAGATAAGTATTGTCATCAATATTTGACGTTTGAAGAAAAAGAAATTTCTCATTTGTTGCCAACTTTTTCAGACATACTTTATACCTTACTAACAATTGAAAAACTTCTTTCCTTGCATGGAATATAAAATATAATCATATTATTAATTCATTTTAATTTTCACTGCAATTTGTTTAACATAACAAAAATTGTTTATTACTTTCAAAATTTGGATATATTTAATAACGTCACACACATCAGGAGTCGACACACAAAATATAATAATTAATTAATTCTAATTCTCCATCAGTAAAGTTTATGTATTTTTTCTCCTAATAATCTAAATATTTATTTAAATTAAATATGTAATGTAAATGCCAAATAAAATATAAAAATTGTTAAGCCGGCCCTTTTAACTATTTACCTGAAGAGGCAAACCCCTTTATGGCTTCGACTTTATCAGCGGGATACTTTTAAATTCTAAAAAATCAATTCCTATAATTGTGAATGAACTTTACATTTTATATAATTCCATTTAACTTCTAATTCTGATTCTTTCCTTGTGCTGCTATTGCTGCCCCAGATCAAAATGTGAAAAGTTGAAAACTGTGCATTCGATAATTCGATAGTCTTGATTAGCACAGCTGCTGTTCAGAGAATTTTACAACTGCTTTATGAAAATCATTTAAAGTCTTGGGAGCCAAAAATATGTCTATTAGAACTTCAACAGAAAAAAATTTTTTTGAAGACAAGGGTGAGCGTTATAGGTTTTTTAAAAGTTTGTTTTAAAAGATCCTTTTTGAATAAGAATTCAGATCAGAAGTATATTTTTTTTAAATAAAAACTAGTCTTTATAATCTTTCATCTTTATGTATATGCAAAAAGAAAAAGAGTTGTTAAACACAATAAAATCAGGTAAACTCGGATACCTCAGTCGCATAATGAGAATTAGAGGAATATATGGGATGCTGCAGTTAATTCTACAAGGAAAAGTAGAAGAAAAACGAAGACCAGGAAGGCGAAGAATTACCTGGCTGAAAAGTCTACGTACTGGTTCAACACAACAACCATAAATCTTTTTAGAACAGCAGTTTGCAAAATACAGATTGACATGATGGTCGCCAACATCCAAAACACCTAGGCACTACAAGAAGAAGTTTATCATATAGGTATACAATAAAAATAACTTATAATTTCTTAACGTATTTTCATTGAACTTTTACCAATTTTAAAGGACCTGATCATTGTAAATAGGATATTTTTCTGTTGAAAAGAGAATATTTAATATGAAGAGTAATATTATCAGTGTTTACCATAATTTTATAAAACTAATAACATGTAGGTAAAATTCAAGAAAATGACTTCATTCATCAGATCTTTAAATATATTTAGTAAAAACTTTTACTTTTCAATGATATTTTTACTTTTAAAATAGATAGTGATATCGATTTTTTTATAATACCCGCTGGCACTTTGGCATCTGTTGTTTGTAGCCGAAATACATAAAAATAATTGTAAAAACCGGGCTCCGACAGATGATCTGTTTGAAATGTTAATAATGGTAAAAAGTGAAAACTGGATCACTGCCATTAATTTTATTACTAAGAAGATTTACTGTTTCCATTTTTAAACTAATCCGCAAAAGTTGACAAATCTTTGTTAGAAATTTAAAAGACTAGAATCACGATAATAAATCTCATCAACAATAACAATATTTGAAGGTGATATAAATATGGTGATGGGTGTTTAAAACCACATACATATATAAGATATTTTTATAATAGGAATAATAATTAAAGAATGCATCTTCTTGCATTCTTGCATGAAAGAATGAATAATATATTACAAATTAAAGGGGAAAATCCCAGTGTTTGGCTGTATACCATAGTTTCAAAAAACTTATAACATATGTATAAAAACTTCTGAAGTAGGTTAATATATTTTTACTAATGATTAAAATTGACCAACATTGATGGTTTCAATGACCATCATCATTGAAACATATTGAGAATATTTTTAAATAAAAGTCAGACGTGAAGCACAGTTTTTTATCAAATCTTGCTCAAGTACTTTTGTTCACAGCGCATTTTCGGAAGCATCTGAAATAAGCCAAAAAAGTGAGTTAACGATTGATGAAAAAATTGTATATTACGTTTTAGACTTACCTCGCCAAAAAAATGTTGGCTTTTCAGCACTTCATTGAATAGTATATTTAAACACATATACAGAAAAAACTAATACCAAACCAAGGACAGTTTAAAAACTTGTTCCTATTTGTTTAGATTTAAAGGAAATGTTAAAATGACATCCGACATATGACAACCAAGATGGATAGTCACTATGAATTGAATTATTGGATTATTTTCCTCAAAATTTGCACTGGTGGTGAGCAAATTAACTTTTTTATTAAATTAAATGAGTCTGTGTGACTTCTAGTCCACATTCAAACTATATTCTTTTTTAACAATTCTCTTAATGAGGATGATACAGCCGATAAATTTGATATAAAATTGCGATGGTAATTGATCATGCCCAATATTCTTTGTAACCCTTTTTTATTATTGGGTTGTTTCAAATTTAAAATAGCTTTAAAAAATTTGATTTAAGTCAGCTCATACTATCTTTATCAAATGTATTTCCCTAATATTTGCCAAAATATTGCCCAAATATAAAATTGCGATGGTAAATTGATCATGCCCAGTATTCTGTGTAATTCTTTTTTATTAATGGGTTTTTTTTTATAATAGCTTTAACTTTATCTAAGTCAGGTCTTAAACCATCTTTCTCAAATGTATTTCCCAAATATTTTACTTCAGAGGTTCTATACTGAATCTTAATTAGGATTAAATTTTACTCAAATATTTCTAGCACGTTTTAATACTTTATTAAGGATTCTATAATTCCCTTTAAGACTATCTGAAAATATTAAAAGATAATCAAAATAGATGAGACATTCATCAATATCACCAAAGTTAATTCTTTAAAAAAAATCAGGAGCAATATTTAGCTCAAATTAAAGAATTAAAATTAAATTAAAAAATAACTATCAAATTTATAAATTTCAAAAGAAGTTTTAAATGCACAAATTCTACTGGACCTATCATCGAGATGAACTTAATAGTATTCCTCTTTAAAGTTTTAAATAGAATAATAACATTTGTTTTTTAAATTACTGCATATCTTTTCAATAATAGGTATTAAACCACATTCCTTTTTAAATGCTTGGTTTAAATCTCTAGGATTCAAACAAATTCTGAATATTTTATCAGGTTTCTCAACTGTATCCCAATTGCTTAACCACTCTGTAGAACATTTACATTTAGATATAATGCCACGTTTTTCTAAAGGGACCTTTCGCTGACACAAAATTATCTTTGAGTCTTTTTGAGTTATCTTTACCATAAGGTTATCTTTAACTATAACAAATTCTAGTTAAAATATTTTTCCTTTAAATAAACATTTTATTGTAATAATACCAAGAGGTTTTATTTTAAATCCTCCATAAGCTTCTAACCTCATTTTGTACGGATTTATCTCATGATTTTTATTGATTTTACTCAAAAAGTAGATTGATACGATATTTACTTGTGAACCTGTATCTATTTTAAAGTCTACTTCATATTGCTCAATTACTAACCTTTCAGACCACTACGTATTTTCTTTTATTTCATTTACCTCAATCCATGTCATCATAAATTGCTGCTGTTCATTGTCTATATCTACCTTAATTGATGTTACCATAAATTCATCTTGTTCATTGTCCATATCTACTTTTTGAATCTCCTGAACTTCTCTTACGATCCTGTTGTTACACAGTTTCTCAATAGTTGTAATACAAACACTTATTGTACATTTTACCAAAGGCTAGATACCTTCAGAACTCATGAGCATGACCACAATTTCTCCACTGATCACTTTTGCTTGAGTTTTCCTCCTGTTCCCATGTTCTGCTTCTTCTAGTATTAAAGTTGCTTTTACCCTTGCCGAGTGAATATTCAATGTTTAACTTGACTGAACTTGTTTAAACTGTATTTTTGAAATTTCTTATGCTCTACATATGTCTATTGCCTTTTGTAAGGTTAACTTATGATTCTGCAACATTTTCTCTTATAGATCTTTATTGATTGTTCCTAAAACTAGTCTATCCCTGATTATTGAGTATAGAGCATCTCAAAATTCCCAATTTTTGCCAATTTACGTAAGCCAGTTAGGTAAGTAACAAATAGATCTTCTTCCTCTTATTTTCTATTGTAAAATTAAAATCTTTCGTAGATTACATTCATTTTAGGGGTGAAGTAATTCTCTAATTCGTCTTTTACTGTACCATATGATTTTCTCTGTGAATCCGTTAACTTTAAGGTGTTAAACACATCAAGCCCTTTATCTCCCAAAAAATTTAACATTAGAGCAATTTTTACTGTGTCTTCCTTTTGCGCCACACCACTGGCTTCTTCTTCTTCCAGTTCCATGACCGTTATCGATCGTTGGATATCATGTTGGCTACCATATTCGCTATCGTGACTTTATTGACAGCAGCTCTAAATAACGATGTAGTTGATTTTCCATACCATTGCCTTAGATTTTTCAGCCATGATGTTCTTCTTCTACCAGGACCACGATTACCTTGGATCTTTCCCTGAATGATCAGATGTAAAAGATCATATTTTTTATTGTGTCTCATAATATGACCGAAGTATTCCAGCTTGCGTTTCTTTATTATATTGACCAGTTGTGTTGTTTGGTTCAGCCGTCTAAGGACCTCCTCATTTCTAACTCTGTCGACCCAGCTTATTTTTAGTAGTCGTCTGTATACCCGCATCTCAAAGGCTGTCAAGCGTTTAAGCATAGCCTCAGTTAGGGTCCAAGCTTCTACTCCATACAGCAGGACAGGAAAGATGTAGCAAGATATCATACGAACTCTAAGGTCAATGTTAAGATCATGACTGCAAAGTACGTTTCTCATTTTTACAAAGGCAGCTCGGGCTTGTTCTATTCGGCTTTTAATTTCTGCGGTTGGATCCCAGCTCTCATTGATATTACTGCCGAGATACATGAGTTTCTCTACTCTGTCCAGTGTGGCATCTCCGACTTTTATACCGTCATCATGTATATAATTTTGTTTGCTAACTATCATATATTTAGTTTTCTTAACGTTGAGTTTTAATCCATACTGATCACAAGTCTGTTTTATTTTGTTCATTAGATTTTGAAGGTCTTCTCCGCAATTGGCAAGGACTAAGGTATCGTCGGCATATCTAATATTGTTGACGGTTACTCCATTCACAATAATACCTTCGGTTGTCTCCATTAAGGCTTCCTTAAATATTTCCTCCGAATATAAGTTAAAAAGTAAAGGCGACAATATACTGGCTAAGAGTTAAATTTCAAATGACTGTTTAAATCACCGAAAGTTTTCAGCCACGTTACCTTCAAATGATAATGGTTGAGGTAGTCCAAACTTCATATTGATCTAATTCTAACAACTTCTTGTTTTGGTTTTAGTTTGGAAGCAGCAGGCTTCATTGACCACAAGACTGCGCCATGTAATAATGTTTAAGACTAACTGTTGTACATATTTATTACTTTTTTGTATAATGATAATAATTCTAAAGTGCTTAGCCTTTATTTCTGCCATGACACCTCGTGCCACCTGTCCAATGTCATAGTCCTGTCAGGACTTTACATTCATGTAATAAGAAATGGTTTTCTTGTGGTATCTGTAAGCTTAATATTATTTTATATGGGATTAAACCATAATTCATTGTAATGAGAATTAAATTTTATATTTGTTTTTGAGCTTCAATTTTCAATTGGAAAGTCATATATAAAAAAATTTTAAAATAGTTTTTTATTTTAAAAACTCTTGGACGAAATCGATTTCTTGATGAGCCTATATAGAAGTAATAATTTAACTAATGTTTCTGGATAATAGTAATTGTGTTAAAGCGAAATTTATATTAGAATCTCTTATTTAATTAGGTATGAAACATTATTATTATCTGGTAATTCTTATGTAATCCTATACTTTCGCTTATTACTTATTTAGTCATTATCAAACACTCGTTACCACATCCCGCATGGTTGACATTATATCTAAGTATGTTCTGCAAATCATAAAAAACTTATTGAAATTTATACGTGTATATGTAACACATTCTTGTAATTTGCTAAAATTTACCCAAATAGTGACAAAATGATGTATGTAGGCCACATGAAGATAGTAACATTATTAGTAAATTTATTTTTATTGTTAATGTTTATATAATACAAATAAACTAGGTTAAGATGTTAAAAAACGTATTATAGAAAATTAAAGATAAGTCAAATGAATCAAATTGATGTGTAAAGGGTGTAAAGCTAGTTCGTGTCCATAGTCTAATACTACACGTGCACACTGGAGAATTCTAACGTTTCCACCATTCCACAATTGAGGCTAACCATTAACTACCCATCGTCCATGGTAAGCTTGATATCGAAATAAACGGACTGCGCTCCAGATATCCTCCATTGTTAAGAGCCAACTCCTTACATCAGGAACATTTCAACCTTACTAACGTTTGGAGAAGACAATGGGAGAGCGACTCACCAAAGAAAGTACACCATCGATCAGAAACCGTTTGAACTGACCTGCAATGCACGGACAACACTAAACAGAATAATAAGCAGTGGAGCAAGCAAACATGAAATTTAATTAAATCCAGCCTGTGAGACATGTTCACCTCTAAGAATTACGTTCGGTAGTAAGAATTCATTGGAGCGAGGTGTATTAACTCGAGTAAAAACTGTATTCACTCCACTGTACTCCAATGCTCCAGACCATCCCTTTCTCCAACATAGCACTCTGATACGCGATAAGGGCACAACTATTATCCAAATGCTCTTCATGTGGGAGTCCTGGGTAATAGAACTCAAACATGGTTTCCTAACCGAATCAAACTCAGGACAGCGCGGCAGGATCATAGCGGATTGTCGCTATGATCCTGTTATCTTAATGTAGCTTATTTGGAAACTACAAATTGCTTACTTGGGCCTCAAGTCTCCGCTCTGAGCTAGACTCAGTTCAGAGACTCGGTGCTCAAGGGGTTGATCCCTACGTGCCCGGAATTTGTGATTTTTGTTAATTTTTTTTTGTTGGATTGCGCCAGTTTTTGTTAGTATGTTTTAAATTTCTTTGGTCGTTTTTTATGTGTTTTTTTGATTTTTTGTAGGTTGCTTGAAACAGAAAAATCATAGATTAATAAAATATTTATATTATAATATAAAAAAAAAATATGGCAATATAAAGTTTGTCCATTTAAAGTAACTGTCTTCTTAATGTGTTGTTATCTTATTTTGTATATTTTCTCTCTGGTGTTTTGTTTTCTCTCTGGTGTTTTTGCTATTTTCTCTCTAGTATATGCTTGGTGTTATTCGATTATCTGTTGTTTCGGTCTTTTGTGCTTTCATCTATGGAAAGCGTCATACCTCATCATCTCGCGCATTATGTGACTTGGATGATTCTCTATCTCTGAGAACTTTGTTCTTGCTTTTTCTTTCATGATCTCAGTCTCTTTCAATTGCTGCAATTCTCTGAAGAGGAATCTTTCTGCAACGTATCTTGGTACGATGGCTGCTTCTCTTAGGCTGTTGTTGTGTGCCGCTTGTATTTTCTTTTTGGATGTATTGCATATGTGTCCCCCCGCATGAGATGCATGTGTTAGTATAGGTATACTGTTTATTAGTCATGGTTAGTCAGTATTAGTTCATGGTTGTCAGTCATACAAATTTAGATCCCGGGGCACTAATGACAGGTAGCGAAGAGATACAGAGAGTCGACAGGTTCACTTACCTCGGAACTACCCTCAACGTACAATGGGACTACGCTCAAGAGATTAGATCCAGAATTGAAATGGCACGGTCTACATTTATTAAGTTGAGATCCTTGCTGTGCTGCAGTGATCTCAGTTTGGGAACCAAGATGCGGATAGTGAGGTGCTACGTTCTTCCTGTGTTACTATATGGAGTTGAAGCCTGGACACTGACGCAAGCCACTGAAGAACGAATCGAAGCCTTCGAGATGTGGATATACAGAAGGATACTCAAAATATCTTATGTGGACCATGTCACCAACGTTGAGGTCCTATAGCGCATGACAAAAGAAAAAGAAGTGCTTAATTTAATTAAACAACGTAATCTTGAGTACCTCGGCCACGTGATGCGGAACGAAGAAAAATATCGACTTCTTCAACTTGTTATGCAGATTAAAGTATTTGGCAGAAGAGGACCGGGACGCCGTCGTATATCGTGGTTGAAAAATCTCCGAAAATGGTTTGGGATGACCTCAGCGGAGCTGTTTCGCAGAGCAGTCAACAAAACCATGATAGCCTTGATGATCGCCAACATCCGGACCGGATAAGGTACTGAAAAGAAGAAGTTT